CGAACATAGGCAAGTTGTATTTTCAATAGTGGCATTATGCTGACCTAATTTCAATTTTTGAATTCACCGCAATAGAGAATTCTGAGTATTTGATACACATATTGACAAAATGTTCATAAATATATGATTTTATTTTTTATTTTTTTTTGGCTCAATCTAATGTCTGTCTCTATAAATTTCCTTGTGATCTGTAGAAGTAGAATTCATTTTGAAATAAGTTATATGATGTATATAATAATGGATAAGTGGCCGTGACACCAAACAAAGACAAATTATAGAAAATGAAGATTAGGTAATTGGAACATATTGCCTAATCCTACAAAGATTTTAGTTCATGAGAGTTGATTTAGGTAGTAAATAGAAGAGGATTAGACAAAATTAGTATGATGTGCTGAAATTGTTAATAATTTAGTTGCGATGATCTCCTAGTAATGTAATAATACTGAATATAATGACGAGAATGAATCATATAGTCAATGTTAAATTTATTGAATATAAAATTTAATTATTTAAATTTATTTTTGGAGCGAACACACAATACTAAATGAGTAAACGGTGTTCAAAATGTAACAAATTTTGCTAAATTATTGTTGTAAATAATAAAAAAGGTGTTTGGAATGAAAGTTGAAAAAACAATTTCCAAATATTTTGAAATTGGATTTTTTTTCCCTAACCCACCTTGCCTACATTGATCACTGGACAATATTGTGACATCATTATTCTATCACGTTTAGTTCAACATAACAAACATAAAACATTCGCCTTTAGATAAAGTCGTGCATAAAATTATAGTTTTTCCTTCTTTTTTCCACGATTCCTGTAATTATGGAAAAAAGAATTAAGGTACCAAAAAAAATAATCTTTAAAAATCACATCATTGAGAGTGGCAAATAATACAAAGTAGAAATATAGAGCAAAAGAAGAACATTCAAAAGGTTTGCAAGTGTTGAAAATGATGTTCCACTATACATTAAAATGGCCATGCTATGTGACAAAACATGTATGGACCCTTTGAGCAGAAGAAACACAAAATAATATAACATCCCACATCCAACACAGCCCAAAATCTCCTATCCTTAGGATGGGTAACAATGCCCTCTAATTCATAGGATGCTGACTATGGATTTTTTTGCATTAAAATAAAACTTAGTACATAATATTTATTTTAAAACCTTACAGGGTGTTAGGAGAACGATAGTTATGGTAATTCATCATATAAATACTGACGATTTTAAATCGATGAAATTTTTGTGATTATGTTTTACTTATAAATGATCCCTTCTAAGGGATATGTTATCGACCGTACATGTTACGAGCGTACTACACAAGTGGCAAGTGAACTTTGTTAGTGGAATGCAGAATTTTGAACGAGATGGAATTGATAAACAATTCGGAAAAAAATACACAATTGTGCCTGAACTAATAAAAAGAGGTGACTTTGCAATAAATTGACATGACAATTATGTAAATAGTAGGTAGGTTTACAACAAGAAAATTGAATAGGCTATTGGAAGACAGCAATTATCTATCTATCCTAAAAGAATAAATATGTCTTTTCATGAGTAGCTGTTTGCAATATTGTATCTTCGATTAAACTCAGAAGTGAGAAAATGTTTCTTTGGTTCGACTTAGCTCTGATGGCGGGAAGCATATATACTATAAGAAGTTTATTTATGATCACTATTGTCGAATTTCATCTTTGTTTGATCAATCGATTACACAGTCACGCAAGATTATATCATTATGTGCACAACCAAAATCTTAACTTGAGCCTACCTTAATTAATCTCAACGTCATGTGATCTCCCAATCTAATTTTATAACTCTAGAGTAACACTAAGTCCCTGTTTGGTAGAGATTAAAATCAAATTTTAAATAAATTTTACTAAAAATTAATAAAATATATGGTTGGAAATGGGATCCATAAAATATGTAGTAAAAATTAATTATTGACTTTGACTTTGATAAAAAAAAATTAGATTTTAATTTCTATCAAACAAAGATTAATTTATTTTTTGAAAAAAATAAATCGCTTTGTTTTCCAGTCAAGTTTTTGGCAATACTTAGGTTTACTCTATTGTCAATATCACAATAGCAAATAAGACAGTGGAAGTTTGAGGGAGCCTATTCAAACTATAGTTCTAGCAAAGTTGTAAAATCGTGTATGTGGTTGATAATTGTTTAATGTCAGAAAGTTGGAGAAGTTGGTGACCTATCATAGATCGATAATTGAAACTTCAGTGAACAACAATCGTAACTATAACGATTTTAAGATGGTGGAATCACAAAAGGATAAAAGTAAGCTAATATGGTCTATAAATGGTATATGATGTTATGGTTTAAATAAACTAAACGATGATTTCAAGTACTACCTTAAAATTAATTGCAATTATTCCAACAATTTCCTTATATTAATGTAATTGGAGGAGACATTTTTAGTCATGTCAACATTAATAGATCAAATTTTCCAACATGTAATGGTGATTCTATTTGGATGAAGGGAGAGATTGTATTTACTTGTATTATTCCACCTACTCACAACTCTATCAAGAATTTCAATTTGAAAAATCATTGTCCACACTTACAAGTGTAGACGTGGGTTCGCCTGCTTGCGTTCAGCACTGTTGAAATTCGAACAAAATGTGTGGATAATATTTGAGTAGAAATTTGTTGAGTATATTAAATGTGAATAAGAAAATATATTTGATCAACTTGTTAGTAAAGATCGACGTTGCTCAGACTTAATTATAAATTAATTAATTTTTCCTACATATAACTTCAAAACTCGTTTACCTTAAATCATTCACACAAAGAGAATTAAAAAATTGGGAATGATATAATTATAATATAAAATAATATTTTTTTAGAGTCTATTTGACATGACTTTTAAAAAGTGAGAATGAATTTTTGATATTTAAAAGTCGCTTTACAACACGTTTGGTTAACTTTATAAATGTATTTCTTCTAGTTGAGAACTTTTAGATGAAACTGGTCCAATATGACTTTCTCTCAGAGCACTTTTAAAAAAGGAAGTTCTTTTAAAAAATTATTTTTCAAACAAAAATTAAGATATCTTCTTTTAAAAGCTTTTTTACAAGAAGTAAAAACGAAATCAAAAGTCCTGCCAAACGACCCTTTCTATGTTCTTTACCAAAAATGATAATAATAATAAATTGTGGATAAGAAAAAACAAAAAATTGTTAGTTTAAAACTATTTTTTATATATATCCAAGGAAAACAGTTGGAGAATCCATCAAAGTACACAAAGAATACCACTCTCTACTCTTTTTCTCCAGGTAACCATTTTGGCATCACCGTCGCATCTCCGGCGAATCTTTGGGAACCGAAAGACCATAAGGATGATCCGAAAAGAATGATTGGGGGATCGCTTTCGCCATGTCAGTTTCGTGCTCCGACCTTCTCTGCGGCGAGGACTCCAGTATTATCTTCTCCACTGGCGGAGAAGCCCTGCTGGAATGCTCATCGGACCAGGGTTTCCTGATGCCCGAAGTCGAGGAATCGATTGCCGGACTCATAGAGAACGAGAGAGATTTCATGGTTCCGTGCAACGATTATATAGAAAAGTTCCATTTAACTCAATCAATTGATGCATCTAATAGAGCAGATTCTGTTGCATGGATTCTGAAGGTATCGTTTCTCAGATTACAACTGTTTTTATTGTTTTCGTTATCATGCACAGGTGGTTCACTGCGCTATCTATACCGATAAAACAATTCGATTAAAAACTGGTTTGAGAATAATGGAACAGCGCACGTTACACAGTTCAAAGATAGCTACGGAACGCTGGTATTTAATAATAGAGATTATTTATGTTTAGCTATTTATCCTCCTAGGCGCATTTTAGCAGGGCGGATGGCGCTATCATGTGCCGTGGTGGGCGAAATAAACGGTTTCTGTTTGTCACGAAGATAGGCGATGAAACACTGATTTTCGGCGCAATATAGAATTTACGGCCCACTTTATGATTCGGAGAGTTGATTGCGTGCTTTTTTATGCAGGTGCATCGTTACCATGGTTTTCAGCCGTTAACGGCGTATCTCTCCGTCAACTATTTTGATCGTTTTCTATACTCCTATCAATTGCCGGTAAAATTCCTCTAACTATTGGTCGCGATTACTTATTTTGTTAAAATAATTTTTTAATTTACCATTATTTTTACTTATAATCTTTTGTTTTGTTGCTATAAAGTCATTCTTTTACATTATATTTTCAATGACAATTGAAAAGTATCTTGGTTTTAACTTTTAAGCAATAATTGAAATGATTTAATAAAAATCTCATACATGAATTCACCTTAATAATTTCTTTAGTTTATGATTAATTAACTTTAAATCATGGAGTACGTGCAAGATGACGAACTTTTTATTAATTCAATTTAATCATGTTTTAAAAGTATATGTCGGGAAGGTTCACTTGTCCTTTTCGATCCTTAACAACCTTGGAATTAATGCATTCAAATGGTATCATTATTATTAAATATTATCCTTATTGTCATACTAATTTAATTATTTTTTCTCAATTTAATTAATTATGCACTCCTGGGAATAATTGCAGAAAATGAATGGGTGGCCTGCGCAACTGTTGTCCGTTGCATGCTTGTCATTAGCTGCCAAAGTGGATGAACCTCTGGTTCCTTCTCTTCTGGATCTTCAGGTGATTTTCTAAATCGATTGTTGTTTTATGCTTATTCTTATTTTAATTAGGAACTAATTATTTCTGCAATTTTTGTTTACTAGGTTGAAGGTGCAAAATTTATTTTTGAACCAAGAAATATCCAAAGAATGGAGCTTCTTGTTCTACGTGTATTGGATTGGAGGCTGCAATCCATTTCTCCATTTAGCTTTCTCAGCTTTTTTGCCCACAAAATTGATCCAACAGGAACTTACACGGGATTCCTTACATCAAGGGCAACTGAAATTATTCTGTCAAATATCAAAGGTATTATGATTAAACTTTATAGGACATGTTTGCTCCACCTTATTATAAAGGACTTGGCCGTCCGATGATTTTAATTGTGTTTAAAAGCTATTTTTTCTTAAAGAAAATAAAGCTCATTTCAGAAATTGTATTTACTTAATTTACTTTTAAGTACGGCCAAACAAACTCCATTGGAAAAAATGAAAATATTTGTATACTTAACTAACATAAATATATAGATTTTGACGTTCAAAAATGGAGGTTTTATATTAGTTATTGCATTTTCTTTTATTCAACAGAGACCAACTTTCTTGAGTATAGGCCATCATGCATTGCTGCTGCAACAATACTTTGTGCAGCAAATGACCTCCCTCATTTCTCTTTAGTTACCGCTCAACATGCTGAGTCATGGTGTGATGGACTTCACAAAGTAAGAAAGATATTCACACTATAATTAGCAGAAAATGCTATTGCCACGTCACTTTGGGTAAAAACCAATCTGATTTTTCGTTTTATAGGACAAAATCACCAGTTGTCGTCAACTAATGCAACAAACCGCGTTCGCTAATAGGCCAAGGAAGCAACCAAAAGTGTTACCTCAGCTCCGAGTAATGACTCGGGCAAGTATCGCATGGAGCGACTCCTCATCCACATCCTTCTCATCCTCGTCACCTTATAAACGGAGAAAGCTAAACAATAGCTTGTGGTTGGATAATGACAAATAAAGCTCAGATTAAGGATGAGGGTTTAAAATAAGAGAAAAAACAAATTTTAAAAGAAAATGGTTTGTTTCAAAGTTGTCTAGTCTAGAATCCCAATATTTTTTTGGAATGGACTGTGAGATAAAAAAAAATAAAAAAATTGACAAGAGTGATGTAGATAAGGTAGCAGGTGTAATTATGTAAAAAGGTTTGAACAGTTTGGGAGACTTTATTATAAACTTTTTTGGTGGGCATTGCCATTCATTAATATTTATGAATTGGCCATTGCTGGTTCCCTAAGGAAGGGGATTTGGTACATATTATTTTGGTGTGTGAATGAATTGTTTAATATCTAGTGGAGTCATGGTATGAAATGAAAGCAGGAGAGTGACTGAAATCAAAGGCAGCATTAATTGATTATTGAATGACAGGAGAAGGGATTGCGGGACCTAAGAAGCCAATGAAAATCAATGGTGTTGAAAAAAACTTTGAAGTTTTAGCGGTTGATGAAATAAGAGTCTAGCTCCTCTACTAGGCCTCCATCATTCCATCAGCCACCCCCTATTGCAACAAGTCATGGAGAAATCATAAAAAGCAGTGTCGAAAAAAGATTCATGGCTCCATTGAAGTAAGACTTCTTTTTATTATGTGTGATTTGTCTCCACACTTACAGTATTTACGTGTGCTTTTTTCTGCGGGAAGTACCCATTTCTTGATTGTCCTAACGACTCGTGGGACATTATTGTGAGTGATGTTTCGTGCGTGTAACGGATACTCGATAGTATTCTTTTAATTTATTTTTTTCCCCTTTTCTCGATTGGCCTAAAGTTGGCCAAATTATACAAAGGTCTTTGGGGCCTTTTTTGTGAGTGATGTATTTGGAGTTATAATAAAATGGAATATTATTTTACATACATTTTCTTAATTCCCCACCCCTTCCCACCTCACCTCAACCTCCCATGACAATGACAGGTTTGTTACATGCATGTGATTGACAATGAGATTTTGTAGCTTTGCCATTTGTTTTATATATTACTGAGAAAACTTTTAAACGGAGATGGGGGAATTTTGAGAGGCAATGGGGTGTCTAGGAATTGGTCCCTCAAGCATTTAAAGGACCGATTCAAGAATATGACTCCTTAAACAGTACAATCTCGTGAATGGCCCATGTTTGCTCTCTTATCTTCCCTTGATTTCAGACAAGTATGCCACACCCCCACACACTGGATCTGAATTATGGGACCATGTATTAGAGCCACCTTTCTGTATGTATCTATTTCCATACCCTTATTACTCTTGTCGGCTACTCATAGTAAGTACTAAGTCCTTGTTCAATTTTGATTCGGACCAAGATAGGGAAACATAATGGTTGATATAAGAGATGATCGAACACACACCATGGAGATTGGGCATTATTTAATTCACGTGAGACCCGTGCACTTTGTGAGGTTCGATCATTCCGGGTGTTAAACATTTTCGAGTAAGGTGGTATTTTCCTTTTGATTATTTAATAATCACTTCTCTCCTACATTCGTTTTCGATTAAACATTCTGTAAAAATAAAATCACTTTTCACAATTTTTCATTACTTTTGTTCTACTTTTTATTCACAATTCACACAAAAAATTCAAAGAATTATTTCTCAAAAAATCTTTTATCAACCAAAGGCTAATATTTTTAAAACAAGTACACCTGTTTACCCTGAAAAGTTAAAAGAGAAGATTGCGTGATTGAAAATAAGGGAGAGAAAAAAAATGAAAGAGAATGGGACCTAACGAAATAGAAATTTATCTTTCTTTCTATTGTTCCTCTGCCTACTTCCCCTCAAACTCCCGGATGACTTGGGAATCTAAGTAGTAATGGAGCATTTTATGGGTAAAATTTCTCCTAATTGCTGTGGGTTTCTAATGATAAGAAATTGTTTTTAAATATACATAAAAATTAAGATCAATACCTAACTCAGATGGTAAGAATTCAAAGGCGGCGAAATCCTTTGACATCCTTTTTGAAAAAAAAAAAAAAAAACATATATAGGAAATTGTGTTCAAACGTAAACATGAAAACTTTGGTGACTTTCCATTATAATGAATAATATTTTAATTTTTTTCTACTTTAATCGTGTTTATTATTGTTCATTCAATGTGTTTTTAAAAATTTTGAACTTTCATTTCACAATGTCAAATTCAAAAATAAAAAAGGCCGGTGGAAATAAAGTTGATGTTCTCACATCCCGACACATTTTAAATTGATTTACATTAAAAAACGTGACGCATTGGACTTTTATATATATATGGTCTATTATATAATTTAGAAAGTACTCCCATTATCAGGATTAATTGTATCCTCACAAACCACAGATATTTTCACGTACCTTGAAACATCAAAAGCTGGTTTAATGGTGGACAATCAAGAAAATACAACTAGGTTGTGACAGAATTTTTGCGAGTAAAGTCATACATTGCCTTCTTGGAATGTTATCTAAATATCAGCTTCTAGAACCCAAAAAATAATAATAATAATAATAAATAAATAAATTTGTATTAATTTGGGTGTGGTCAATTTGTCCACGTGTCAACCCTGAATACGTGTATCTGAATGAGTTTTATGATATGAATCTCATATTCAATAACAATATTGAATTTGCTTGTTGATAAAAATTTAAAAATAAAAAAATACGAACAAAAATTTACAAACATCAGATATGGAGTAGATTGGTGGCTACTCGACCTAATAGGATAACCATTTGGAGTGGAGCCCGTCCCTATAAGTGGTATCATAGCTAAATTCTAAACTTACTCGTATGGATGCACTAAATAAATCTCTAGTTACAGTGGAATGAAGGTGCTGCCACAATGATTCCGATGGCCGGAAAATTCTGTTGTGTCCCAAATTAGTGTGGTCCTTGTTGTAGTAGAATATTTGGGTTTTTATAGTTCGTGTGTCCTTCTCAATTTGAGGAAGAGGGGTAATAAATTCTTGAGAATGAAGCGATATTTTGTCCGAATAGGGGATTATTGGATAATTATGAATCAAAATTTGACATAGATTATGTTATTTATTGATAAGAGGATTGAATTACTCCAAAATAATGAAAACTGAGAATAAGTTTTAGGATATCTGCTAAGATTAATTCTATGATTGATACTAATTTTGAGACAAACTCGAGATATACACAATCGACATTGATATGGACAAGACTTTTTAAAATTGTTCCACTTTATGAGAATCCTTTTTCCCATAATTAATACAATGTTATCTTAAATCAACCGGAGCCATGAAGTTTTAGAGCATCTTGGAGATTAATCCAAAAAATAATAATAAAAATAAAATAAAATAAAATCTTGTTAACTTGTTCATATTTCGCAAGTGGACTAATATTTAAAACACAAAAGGATAATCGACAATACGAAAAGTTAAGACAACAACATTTGTAAATAAGTATTAATTGATTCAACAAAAAAGATTTTTGCACGGTACAAATACTTGTGAATAGAGCGTATGTGTTTGTTCGAGCATTGTCCGCAATGTAGTATTTTAGATATTTTTGAGAAACGCAGCGACAGTACAAAAGATAAGAAAAATGAAGAAAGAAAACACAAATTTATGTAGTTCCCTAAATTATTTACATCCAAGTAATAGGAATATTCACTTCATATTTTCTCACTATTTTTCTCTCTCTCTTTTTCCTCGCCTCTTCTTTCCATTTCGGTTATCCTTTTCATTCCTTGATATGCAACAAGATCTCATCTTACTTTTGCCCCCAGGGCACATCTCCAAGTGGTAAAAGGGGAGGGTGGAGAAATCCAGCTTTGCTTGAGACTGCTGCGTCAAGGGTTCGAAT